GAGAGAGAGAGAGAGATAGAGAGAGAGAGAGTTACATACATGGGAAATTAAATAGAAACACACAAGAAAAAGAGTATGAAACGACAACTGAACAAAGACAGCTGGTGTCTCTATATATCATACATTATTAATGGTTTAGATTGGTTTACAAGCACTGTGGTTTGTTGGTTTATCTACATTATCGATACCTTATAATAATCATAAAAGCGAATAAGGTGTTACTCTACACCTTAAACCCAAGGCTCTAAAGTCGCCCTGCGTCTTAGCAATGATATAAGAAATTAGAATACAAAACTAGACTACAAAATAATCAGTAAGGACCGACCAAGTGAACAAACTCCGTGTGGGTGAGGTAATCAGTACAACATTATAATTTTGTGGGGTAAGAAACGGTAACGGTAATGGGCAGCCCTGCATTTCGTAAGTGTTGCGTCAAGTCAGAGGCGTTGAGTGCGTAGTGCGTAAAAACACCCCGCCTGATGTAAACACCTGAAGTATGACGTTACTTTGTGGACTTCGAACCCGCTAGAATCAGACGAGCAGTCGGGAAACTGGAACAAAACGCAGGTTGGTTACAAAACCATGGAAAAATATACATCCCCCCTTCTCTCTCTCTCTCTCTCTCTCTCTCTCTCTCTCTCTCTCTCTCTCTCTCTCTCTCTCTCTCTCTCTCTCTCTCTCTCTCTCTGGTTTTCTCTTGGTATCCTTCTATATTTCCATGGCCCATGCTAATCCTCTCTGTGTTGCTCCAATTTTAGTATATTATGTACTGCGTGAACAATGAAAGTCTTTTTGGGTCTTGGCTAAACTACACTCAAATGTTTAGTTCTAAGAGAAGTGGGAAGAACCAACTCATGTCCTGATTACATGCATTGTGTCATTAAATTCTGGTGCAGACTGATACACTTAGAAAATGACAGATGTCCAAAGATATGTTACTTGCAACTATATCGTTCCTGTGAACTTGGCAGAGTCAACTGGGCTACGGAAATTAAAAACCTATTATTTTCCCTGGGTTTTGGATATGCCTGGTTTTCTCAAAATGTTGGAAGTACTAGACTCTTCTCAGTGAAGTAAAAAGTAGACTTGTTGATCATTCTGTGCAGAACATGGAGGAAGAAGTCTGTCGAAAGTATAATGTTTTCTCCCTTACAATTCCGTTTCAAGAAACAGCTGAATAAATCACCAACCTAACACAGTATTGGAGCAGAAGAGCCATAGCTTTGTTAAAAACACATAGCCTTCCACTAAAAAACAACCTCTATTGGTGGGAATTAACTAATTCGCCCTTATGTGAAAGGTGTAACTCATGAAATTGAAGATGAATTTCACTTTATTTTCTATTGTTCACACTTCGTCCATCAAAGTAAATTGTTAATCTCTGACTCGGCCCAGTGACAGAAATATGCTATATTTGACCCATGATAAGAGATATGTGCACAACCGGTACTTATTTCTTAGGGAAACCTTACTTGTCAAATGAGTGTTTTATGTGATGTGATGTGGGCCAATGGCCTTAAACACTAAATAAACTGACTTACTTACTATATTTCCATGCATTCAACATTTAACATACATGATGAAAAATATAGATTTGGCTTATCCCCTTCTCC